TTACTCACTACAATTATTTAAAATTAAAATAATGATATAATTAAATAAATGACGTATTTAATTCACCACTATTAAATACTTGACCCGGTCATTGATCAATAATGGAAGAGTTTCTTGCATTATTTGTCATCTAAATAAGAAAATCAAATATGTCATACAACACAATAAATATTTTATTTTTTCCAAAAACAATAAAAAACTAAAAATTCTTACCAAGCTAATTTTTTTCAAGAAACTCCAATCTTTCTTCAACACAAATAGGCTTAGTTTCTTGTCTAAGTCAATCTTGGACACAAATAAGACATTGCGCACATTTGAGAGTCAATGAACTGCTAAAGTGATCAAGAATACAACCACCGATGCTAAATGCACATTCCAGTGTCATACTCGACATAGTAATAGTCAATACATCTCGAGTCAACTATGAATATATAGGAAATCTTGGAGAATTTACTTTCCACCAAATCAAAATATCAAAATTCTCAGATTCAGACTCTTGGTCTTCAAAAAGATATCTATCCAACTCAGATTTAACACCTAAACTTTTAGAATCTTCCCTTTATTTCTTCATGTAAAACTTAGTTTTTAAAGAATTTATTTTCACATTTTAAGAAAGATCACATGTAGATGAATCGGATGAGTCTGATGAAAATGATTGATTGTTAGAACCTTTTAAATACTTAATTACATAGATCGCAAATAAATTCTTCAAGTAAGCATCTACATTCTTATTCATTGTCTTTACCTTTTCTTCCCCAGGTAATTCTTCAAGAGCGAAACTACATACACAAATTTATTGTGAGGATCCAAAGCATAAGCAATAAAAACACATTTTGTTCATTCTTTCAGGAGTACCCCAATATTTTTTGAACTTTTCTTTCATCCATGAACCCATTTTACTCAAGTCAACACCATCACTTGTCATACATGCTTTCAAATAAGCATCAAGTTCACATATATCCTCAAAATGAACATTACAAGTAACATACTATGAACTTGAAACTTTTAATGTGAGCTCATAAAATTTTTCGAAGAAGCTTATTACATTCATCACATTAGTCCAATCCTCATATTGAATTGAACCTGCAATACTTCCATCTTCACAAACATCAGTAGCAAGAAAAAAATTAAATTAACATCATAAAGATAAAACCTCTCAAAACCCTTCTCAATTTTTTCTGTCATGTCCAACATTAGGTATGTGGAATTCCACCTAGTAGGCACATCTAAAGACAACATTTTATCACATTCTATATTTTTCATTTCAATATATTTCAAGAAGTTTCTTGTCCTTTAGAAGATCTAACATATTTCACCATTTGTCTCATCCTTTTGATAGAGGGATCAATTTCTTTCAAATCATCTTGCACAATTAGAGTAAGTATGTGAGTCATGCATCTCATATGGAGATGCTTACCTTCCATCATATTAGTTTTTCATATATCTAATTTTCGGACAACTCTAAAACTGTCACATCATTTGAAGAGGCATTATCAACCGTAACAGTAAAGACATTGTCCAAGTTCTATTCAAGTAAACAATTACTAATACACTTAGCCAAATTCTCACCTTTATGATTAGTGATAGGACAAAAAATTTAATATTTTTTTTATAAAGCATCCAATCCCTTCAATAAGTGAGCATTCAAACACATATAATTGATCCTTTGCAGCGAAGGTCATGTGGCTGTTGAGAGACAAATTCTTGGTTGTATTTCTCTTAAAGACTTTTTTCAAATTCATCCTCAATTCAGCATAATCTTCATAAGAATTTCTTGTTATGGTTCTACGAGAAGGAATATGAAACAAAGGTTGGACTTTACTCATAAACTTCTTAAAGACTTTTTTTTCAAAAAAAAAAACTAAAAGGTAATTCATCCAAAATCATCATCCCAACTAAAGCTCTCGTAGCTTTTGATCAAATTTCCAAGTCTCTATCGAAGAACTATTGCTTTGAATATTTAACAATTTATGAATACCAGGTGCTACATGCCGGGGCTTATGCACCTTACATCGGTTAGTCAAATATTCTCTTAGTCCACTTGTTCCATTTTTAGTTGATTAGCAACATAATTTTGTTTACAATGTAAACGCTTTGCTTTAACTAAACAGTAGATCTAGGACCAATTTTTTTACATTTTTTTGTTTTCTCTGTGCCAATTGATGCATTATTGATATTAGTAGGTGTATTATCTGTAGATCAACCATACTTATTCGACTTTAATTAGTCATACCCTTATTTAATTGATTTTGTGCAGCCATCGATTTATATAAAAGAATATTTCACAATAAATTTGCACACTAACTAGTAACAAAAGAAAAATTAGAAAGAAAAATATATAAAAGAAGAAATATTCATTTTGAAACTTGTTAACTTAAAATAGAAGAAGAAATATAATACCTGATGGTGGTGTCCGGAAGTGAAAATGTCGACTGATGTACTGCGACTGCCTACTGGTTGACTGGCGGCTAATGCATGCTACTATTGGTCATCGGGACTCAAAAGTGGGAACGGTCGTTGTTGCTTTAGTCTATAGACATGAGAATGTGGGAAGAAGAATGGTCACTTTTTGTAACGACCTGTTTAGTCATTTGGAGCAACAGACTCCAATTCTGGAAAAACTGGCAGAAGCGACGGACCCCACGACGGACCGTCATGGGCACGACGGACCGTCGCAGGGGTCTCGTTTCAAAACACTTAGAAAATCTGAAATTGGGTACTGAAAATCGACTCTCTGAACTTCGTAACGGAGTGGCAGGACGGACCGTCACAGGTGTGACGGACCGTCACAGGCCATTCACCCAAAATCCAGTTTCTGAACTATGCGACGGACAGCAGGACGGACCGTCGCAGGCGCGACGGCCCGTCACAGCTTGCGTAATCCCAGTTGGAGTCAGATTTCTGGTTAAGTTTTAAGGGACGTTTTTGACTATTCTTGCCTTAAGTATAAAGTTCGTGGGTTTATATTAATAACTCAAATTCTTGGGGGTTAAAAGAGGTAACCCTAAGTTAATTAGTGGGGTATTATTGCCATCTTTTATTCTTAATTATATACTAATTAGGGTAAAAGAAAGAGGGTTTGAATAAGAAAATAGAAAGAACAAGAAGGGAGAGAGAGAAACGATCGAGAAGAAGAGGAAAACACCAAGCTTTGAGGATTAACTTGCTTGATTTCAATTCTTCGGTGGAGGTAGGTTATGGTTTCATGCTTCATAAGTAAACTCTTAATAGTGAATGATATGTATTGGTAGTATTGTAAACCCTACTATATGCTTAATGGTATGTTTGCATGAATATGATTATGTGATTGTGATAAGATAAGCATGATGAAAATATTGAATCCCAAATCTTGAAAAGAAACTTTAATATACATTATTAATGATGATGCCTTGGTATAGAAGAAGGCTTGATGAATTAAAGTAATGGGATTGATGATGCCTTGGTATAGAGAAGGCTTGATGATTTACAGAATGATATTAGTGGATCGGAGTGTCACGTTCCGACACATAGTATTAGTGGATCGGAGTGTCACGTTCCGACACATAGTATTAGTGGATCGGAGTGTCACGTTCCGACACATAGTATTAGTGGATCGGAGTGTCACGTTCCGACACGTAGAATTAGGGGATCGGAGTGTCACGTACCGACACATATAGGGGATCGGAGTGTCACGTACCGACACATATAGGGGATCGGAGTGTCACGTACCGACACATATAGGGGATCGGGTGTCACGAACCGACACGTAGAATTAGGGGATCAGAGTGTCACGTTCCGACACATAGCAGTAGGGGATCGGAGTGTCACGTACCGACACAAGAGGAAGAAAGATAATGAATCTTGAAAGATGATAATATACTCAACTTAATAAACTTAATTCCCAAATGAGTATGGTGTTGAGGCTTGAGCCCTCATGGATGAACTTGATGGTACTTATTGATGATTATAGTACTTGTTGTTGCTACATGTTGAATTTTATAGTTGATTTACGATAATATTTGATATATAATGTTCCTTATTTTGAGTTGGCCGATGATATCTACTCAGTACCCGTGTTTTGTACTGACCCCTACTTTTATGTTTTCTTCTTGTTTATTTGTGGAGTGCAGCAAACGTGCCATCGTCTTCAACTCAACAGTAACTCAAGCCAGTCTTCGTCACACCGGATCTTCAGGGTGAGCTAACGCTTCTAGCTTGGACTGGATCTTCTCCTTCATGTCTTGATGCCTTGAACTTCCGGCATGGACTAGCTTCTTATGTATTTTTAGCTTCTTAGAAACTCTTAGAATTAGTAGTTTAAAGTAGATGTTCTTGTGATGATGACTTCCAGATTTTGGGAATAATAATAGTTATTGATTTTATTAATGAGTTTAAGTCTTCCGCATTACTTTATGTTGATATTACCTTGAAATGTTAAGGTTTAGATTGGTTGGTTCGCTCACATAGGAGGGTAAGTGTGGGTGCCAGTCGCGGCCCGGATTTGGGTCGTGACACTTTTGGCCTTTGGGAATAATGGTCTTAAGTCTGAAATGTGTTGTGTAAGTGGAAAAGGAAAAATAACCAAAGTTTGAAAGACTAACTTTTGATTTGATCTACTTTTGCTTATTATTTTAAATTATAATTTTTATTATTCAATATTAATAATTAATATAGTAGTAATATATACTTTTTCCGTCCCATTTAATTTGACAATATTTGACCGAACACGGAGTTTAAGAAATAATGAAGACTTTGAAATGTCTACCAAATTGCCCTTCAAAGTAAACTCACTTTTCTCTCTCCTCATAAATGTATTGAAGTATAATCTTTAAGATTAAGTGGGACTAACAAGGGTAAAGAGAAATTGTAAATTTAACGTACCATATAAAGAGATGCGACATTCTTCTTGGAACTAACTAAAAAGGAAATGGTGTCACATAAAATGGGACTGAGGGAGTATTATATATAATATATTTCAGTAAATTGAAATATCGAATAAAATAAAAATTACATATCGGGCATCGAATAAAAATACCAAAAAATATAAAAACGTATACCGAATACAGAATTAAAATATCAAAATAATTTAATTCAGTTTGATATTTCAGTTTTTAGGTGTTTATGCCCAGCCCTAGTTTCCACTGATTAGGCTTACTTGCCACCATGCATCTTAAGTATTTTTCCAAGCACCAATTAACCCTTTTTGTTTGGCCATCACTTTGAGAGTGATAGGCAGAGTTATAATTGATTTGTGTGCCCAATAAGCTAAATAAAGCTCGCCAAAAGTTGTTGAGATGCACCTTGTCTCTATCAGTCACAATAGACTTCGGAGTGCCATGTAGGCTATGTATCTTCTTCCAAAAGATGGAAGCAATAGCGGCGGCAGTATGAGGGTGCGATAGAGTTATGAAGTGGCGTACATAGTAAATTTATCAACCACCACTAATATGACATCTTTAGATTTATACTTGGGAAGACCTTCTACAAAGTCCGTGTTGATATTGGTACCATGCTTGATTAGGAACAGGTAAGAGTTGCAAAAATTCCGGATAAACTACATAATTATCGTCTTTATTCCTATGGCATAAATCACATCTGGGCACATAATCATTAACCATAAGCTTCATCTTTGGTCAATAGAAAAATTGCGACAACCTTTTTGATGTCTCTAACTGACCAGAATGACCACCAAGGGGAGTGTCGCGGTAAGAAGAAATGAGTTATTGTTTGAGAGTTTCATGAGATCCTACATATACCTTGCCCTTGTTTCTTAGTATACCAGATGAGTAGTGCGATAAATTGGGTCCATAAGAATCTTTTCTTAGTATACCAGATGAGTAGTGCGATAAATTGGGTCCATGAGAATCTACGACAAGTAGTGTAAGAATGTCTCGGACATAAGCATCCTCTGCATAGCGCCCAATAATCTCTCATACCCAAGTTGGAGTGCTACTTCTTATAGCCATTAAATTCCCAATAGCATGATCATCTAAGGAGTCTAACCCTTTTTATTTCCCAGCAAGGCGTCAATAATTCTATTTTCAGCACCTCTCTTATATTGAACCTCATAATCAAGTCCCAATAGCTTGGTTAAATCCTTCTACTGAATAGAGAAGATTACCTTTTGTTCCCTGAATCAAGATCAAAATTCAAATGCAAAAGTTAACAATCAACTCAACACCTTTTTTATGAATTTTCTGTGATTTATCAAAATTAGAGAAACGATACTCAATTGAACAAGGATATTCTAGCTAGAAAAAGAAACTATCTATAGTGAGCTCCATTTCAAAACGTAATTTGCAGAAAAGGAAGAAGAGAGAAAAAGATCAGATTTAGATAAGAAGAGAAAAGAACTTGGTAGAAAGAAGAGAAGACAAAGAGAATTGAAAATTACCAGAATTTTTGTTAGCCCTCTCTGTCCTGTGTGATGTGTATATATAATCATCTGTCCATGTGGCACGATCTCGTCCCTTCAGCTTGATTTGAATGAATTGGATCTCGGCCCTTCAATTTTTTTATTTTAGTGTCAATTGCTTATACTCTATCCGTAGTTCGAATCTTGACAACAACACTTTATGATTGAGATCAGAACTCAGAAGCCGACTATTATTGTTCCCTCTTCTATTGGTCATCTCCGACCAGACCCAAAATCCAACTTAAATCAACCAACAACAATAGCCAAAGAACCCCCACAAAAGCTCTAGTCGTGAGTAACACCATCAACTCCAAAATGGGGATGAACCTGACGAGTTAGAAGTCGGCAACTCAATTATTACAACTAGAGAGTCCGAACAGCTTCACCAAGTTTCAGATCTCGGCGAGCTCGCAAGTCAAATCAAACCCCAACTCTAATTCCTTTAAAATCAGAACGTCGAGCATCCCGAATCAGATCATCACCAGTGAGCCAAAGCTCCAAAACATCGATCTCTCTCTAGCTTCGGTATACAAACAATCCCTTTTTTACTTCATTATTTTTTTTTCAGATCTGGCCGTAGGGATTCAAACTTCAGCCAATGTTATTTTCATTTTCATTTTTCTTTGGTAATGTTTATTTTCTTTAACAAGTTATGTTGAGTTTCACACTTTGTTGATTTGTTTGGATATATTTATGTCATGAAAGAAGACTTATAACTGGATAGTGTTTTGATTATTGCTTTGGTCTTATCTATAATTGATAGTTTTTATAATATTTTAAAAAATGAATATTTTAGTCTAATTTCATATACATTAATTATAACTTAAATTGACAAATAAAAAAAATTACGATCGATTTTCAAGGTCTCTCATGTTAATAAGGAATATTCTATTTTTGAGCTATTATTTCCTTCGTTTATTTTGGTTTATATTTATCCACTACTAACACTTTTAGTTTACAGGTGCCTATGAATTTTAATGCTTGAGAGAAATGTGTATTTTATTTAATATGTATGAGCATTGATACAAGAGAGTAAACAACATATAAAAAAAGAATTAACTAATAAAGAATTGTGATCTTCTCCTAATCATAATAGTAACTAAATCACTAATGAGATACTAAGATATGAAAGATCAATTAAGTTATATCCTAATATAAATCAAGAGATATCACTAACAATGCCCAGAGTTGCTTCTTGAGGAAGTTATTTGAATGTAGTTTGAATATTATTTTTTTAATTTATTAGTGTATATATTATTGTCATTAGATAAACATTAGACTCTTAGGTCTCATTTGTTTGCACTAAATGGAGGTATGAATCTTAATCATTTAGATTCAGCATATTAAGTATGTTTGATTTTTAAGTTTGAATCTAAACCATTCAGATTCAACCCATTAAGTTCATTTGTTTTATTTTTTAAAAAGTCTCTTATGGGTCTGAAGAGGTCTGAACGAATCAGATATGTATGAGACTCTTAACAACATTTAGACTCGTTTAATAAGTTATCAAATAATAAATCATTGTTTCTCTGCTTTGGGCGTGCCTTTTTACCTCATAAATGAAAAGTTTATTTCTCTTATTTCTTAATCAAACATCATTTTCCTTCTTGAACTGGTAAGTTTTGATAAATCCTTTCCGGTATTTTTTATATTAATAAATTTTTTGTATTGACGTGTCAAGAACACTGGTTGCAATAATATTTTTGGTGCATTGTTGTTTATCAAGGTTTTTGAATGAAAAAATAGTACTCTAAAACTTTAAAACTTTATTTTTATCAAAAGTAATATATTTTGTTGAAATGAATTTTTTATAATATTTTATTAATATAACGTTTAATTTCATTTGCAGATTCAGATATTGAAAATAAACAATTTTAATTATGTACTGTTCAAATTTAGAGACCACATTTTAATATTCAGATGTGTATTCATATCAAAACACCTAGATCTTAATGCAAATTTTAATATTCAAATGTGTATTCAGATTCAGACCTCTTAATATTAATAGAAACAAATGAGGTCTTACTCATATTATTGTTTTAATTTATGATTTATTTGTATTTCATGTTTATAATATTTGTAGATTATTTTTATCTCCTTCCTAATTTGAATAAATGAATTTAGTCGGGATTTATAGTTAGGGATTTTAAGAGGTGCTAATACCTTCTCTTCGAGATCACTTGAATCCTTACCTAGAATCTATTGATTTCTTAGACATTTTTATCAAGAGATTTTCTAATTATCCTAAAACAAGGTAATTTGCCCCTGCTTTGTGCGGTCATAAATAATAATTGCATTAGACTTGCAAATAATTTTTTTCCAATATCCATACATTAAAAATAATGCGAAAATAGGTTCTTAAAAAGATATTAGCAATACTCCAACATGAATTTGATTATTTGTCATTATCACATAACTCAAGAACCTATGATGAATGAATTACACACGAAATAATAAATCATTGATTCTTTAATCAGCATTAAAATGAAAATAAAGGAGAAAATGAGACTATAGGTACAAAGACATTTCGTAATAAAAAGAAACATTTAAGTTGTATAGATTATACAATTGTGATATATGTCTTAGGATTAAACTAAAAAAAATTGTTAATATATTCAAAAAAAAAATTACACTTGAAAACAAAGCAATTATAACTTTTAACTTGCATAATGATTTTCTTGAATTGATAAGTGAGAAATTTCATATCTATATAGAAATAGATAATATGTAAGCTTATATATAGTACTTTTAAGTTATAGAATTTAATATAGGATATCAAAACATGAATTCTTGGAACTGAGTACAATAATTATTTTCTGCAAATCAATATGCGTATTATATGTGTATATGTTCAATATAACCGGATACAATAACTTTGCAGAAACATAAACAACATAGTATAAAACATGTACTCAAAAACAACTATTAATATCATAAGTATAAATTAATGAACGTAAAAAAAATAATAGGATATGTAAAAATAGAATGAAATAGAAGGGAAAAAATCGAGTCCACCTAATGCACAATGTCACCTTAAGAAAGTTATTCCTCTCAAATACCAGAGGTTTAAAGATTTACATCCTCTGAGGATGAAATAATTTTATTCACTAATTTATTGATATAAAAACAGTGGTGTTAGTAAGTCACTCAACAAAAGCAAAATACAAGAATATTTAATTTTGCGAAAGTAGAAGAAGAAGAAGATCAGAACTTTTGTTGTTTTAAAATGAAAGGAAATCCCCCAATTTATAAACAACAAAGGTTAGTGTGAACAAATCTTTACTGTGTCTTATCAGAAATACAACTATTTAGAAAAGTTACAATCTTTCGAAAAGTTCACAACCTTTCATAAAAGTCACAATTTTTCATAAAGTCGCAAATCTTCACTAAAGTTGCAACTTTTTGTAAAAGTCACAACTTTTAATAAAAGTTGCAATTCTTCATTAAAGTCACAACTTTTAATTAAGATCGCAACTTAAAGTCGCAACTTTTCATAAAAGTCACATCTTTTCATGAAAGAAGAAGACTAGTTTTGAAAATAAATAAATTTAAAAGGAATTTTTTACTTGTGGTGGCACCACATAGGTGGGCCTAGAGTTCTCTTTTATATAAATATATAAATATATGATTAGGTGACAAGTCTCTTAAGATTGGAATCCTTAAAATTTTTTCTTTTTAAAAAATTAATTTAATTAATTGATTATTTTTTTAATCATTGCGATGTTGTTGTCTTATTGGAAAAATGCATAATACATATATATGCCTTTTACTTGACCTCATTTCACATTTATATCCTCAAACTTTGGGTTGTGCACAAGTACACACTTGTGGTATGTTTGGTATGAAAGAAAATGTTTTCAATGGAAAACATTATATTTATCAAAATAAATATAGAAGTAGATATTTGACTTGTTTTTTCATGTTTGGTTGGTGAGTAGAAAATATTTTAGTGTTTGATTTTTGAATCTTTTATTTATTATTAGAGTAGAAAATAATTTTTGAAGTTTATTTATTTTATTTTTTTAAAAAAACAAACTTAAATTTTTTGGGGTGGTGGTGGGGTGGGGGGTTCAACGGTAGTGGTGAAAACAATTAAAATTTGAAGTTGAATTTTTTAAAAAAAAATCAAAATATTTTTGGGCATAATACATATATTGGACCCTAAACTTGTCTTCAAATTTTATCTTTGACCTTCAACTTCCATAATCTACAAATAGGCACATTAACTATTCAACTTTTAATAAATAAACACAGGGATCCTACATGCCAATTCACGTAGGACACCACGTAGGACAAAAAAATGACATGTTGAATGACATGTAGGACATGTGTATCTATTTCTCAACCTTATACAAGTTTATGTGTCTATTTGTGCATATCCAAAGTTGAATGATATAAATGTGATTTGAAGCCAAGTTAAAGGGCACATTCATGTATTATGCCTTTTTTGGGGTGGGTTGTTGGTAGTGGGTAGCAGTGGGGGGTCGAGAATAGGGGTGAAAAAATAAAATTTTGAATTTTAAAATATTTTTTAAAAACAAACTTTTTTTTTTTGGGATGGGGTGGGGGTGGGGGCTAAGGGAGCAAGGACTGATAGGGGGGTGGGTGGATAGGATGTTGAGGGTAGGGGTGAAAAAATGAATTTTTGAAGTTGGAAATATTTTTAAAAAACAAACTTAATTTTTTTTTTGGGATGGAGTGCGGTAGGGGGGTGGGGGGTCTGGGGTAGGATAGGGGTGAAAAAATGAAATTTTGAAGTTGATAATATTTTTCAAAAGGCATAATACATAAATATGACCTTCAACTTGACTTCTGTTGACAACTATGACCCTTAACTTTGGATGTGCACAAGTAAACACTTAAACTTGTATATAATTGAACAAGTCGACACACATGTCCTACATGACATGATACACGTAAGGCACATATTTTTCATGTAGGGTATCATGTAGAACAAATGTGTCAATTTGTTCAATTTTATACAAGTTTAAGTTTCTACTTGTGCATATCTAAAGTTACTGATCGTAGTTGTCAACTAACGTCAAGTTAAGGTCGTATTTAGGTATTATGTCTTTTAAAAAATAAACTTAATTATTTTTAGGGGTAAGGGGTGGTTTTGGGGCTGGTGGGGGGGGGGTAGGGGGGTATGGGGGAGGAAATGTTTGCGTTAAGTTTTAAAGGGAAGTTATTTTTCTTAAATTTGAGGAAAATGAGTTAATTTGGAAAACATTTTTAATACATTTGACTCAACCAAACATGAGAAAATTACACAACCTTAAACTCAAATAAAATTGAGCAAGTAGACACATTAATCCTATGTGTTACAATATACATAGGACACTACGTAGGACACAAATTTTCATGTGAAAGAATCATAAATTTGGAAAAATAACTTAAATGCACAATTTTAATTTCTTTATCGTCTATTTTTCCGTACTTTTTTAATAAATTACTTAAATCCCTTATTTCACTTAAATATCAAATCTGTCATATACATAATAATCTTTCACCTCACTCGTTTCACCACTTCCCATTCCATTCCTTTTTTTCCTCCCTAATTTCACACCATTACCTTTTTGTTACAAATCATTATCTCAATTTTATTTTCAAAATTTCTCTCTCTTAATTGATCCATTTTAAAAAGAGTCCAATTTCCATCATTTTTCACTCCTTTAATCTCTCCTTACTTCACTTACAATTTTCATCTCAATTTGAATTTTAAAAGAATTTTTTCTTTAGTCAATCAAATTTAAACCACTGAATTAGGTGCTTTTCATATACTCGATTGCCGGGGTCTTTTTCAATTTTTTTTGTTTTTATCTTTTTTTCCAGATACATATGATTCTCCATTGTATCTGATTCTCCATTAATCCTTGTTTTATACAATGTATCGTATTCATAGCTAAGATGTTGATGCATAACTCTAATGTTGTTGAACTAATATATTAGTTTTATTATGTTCGATATAAATGTTCTTGATACATAAACACTTCCCAATGTATAGTTTGCACATATCAAGTTTTTCAATGTATCATCAAAATCTTATTCAAATTTGAAAGACTATATACACAATGACAAATCGATTGTGTGTTATGTATCTATACTCTTTAATATTTGTTCAGTGTTATTCAACTTAGAATGTGATGTATTTGTGCGTATTACCCATAATAATCTTGATACATAAAAACTTATACGACATTGTACAATTTGCAAACATTAAAAAATTCAGTAATACATTATATGAAATACATTTTTTTTCAATTTTCAAAGCAACACCTATCTAACAAAAAACACACATATTGACAAAATTTTATAACCAGCTTATAACATATACTATGTACATTAAAATTATCAATGATACAATCACTCACAAATATTCAAAATTGATATACATTAACGTATCATCCACATTTGTCTTAATCAAAAGTAGTAAATTTAAATATCTTAATTGTTGCACTACTTATATATACAATATATACAATAATAACATGACACATTATAAAATTTGTATACACACTCGATATTCAAAATGAATCTGATCCATCTCAACTGTTAATAAATTTATTTCATGAATCATATACTTATGATGCTACATTTCTATAAAAATCACATTCAAATAAAAAACAATGACTCATGACTTACATATTCATATCAAAACGACAAAATAAAATTATAGCAATGATAAATTGAAAAGATACTATATACCAATGACGGAGAGACAGATGGAATGCTGGAGGAAGTGGTTGACGGTCGGTGATGGATAAGAAGATAATAAAAAAGATAATTCTTTCGTTGGATAAGAAGACAATGAATTAATGACACAAACACCGTATGGCAAACCACTCTTTCTTCTTATATACATAGAATTCACTCCCCATGATATACCTATGAGTTCTTGATCGTAAGGTATCCTTTCCGAGAATAATTTTCACACAACAACTGTAAATGCAAATTAATATTGAACTATAGAGCATTATTTGTATACTAATAGACCATATGAAGAAATCATAATAATCGAGATGCTGCACAAATCTATAGATTCGACTCATAACCAACTGAT